CCGGGCCCGCGTGGGCGGGGGAGCGGCGCCCCCACAGCCGAACGGCCGTCAGCGACCGGGGCAGCGGACGGAGACTGTCCCCTCACCCTAGGCCGGCACCATACCCCCCGGTCTTGGGCCCTCACGGCCCCTCACGGCCCCTCTCCCCTCACGGCCCATCTCCCCTCACGGACCCCATTGCCCTTCTCCCCTCATGGCCCCCTGTGGCCTATGAGGGCACAGACCCCGGTTGGTGGTGCAACCAGAATCGTTTATTACAACCACCAGGCAGCTTATATAGTACCAATGGATCTTCCTTCCCAACCGACATGTCCCTGCAACCCCCAACTGCCAGGCAGGCAGAATTCCCCTCCATCAGTCAGGGCCACCAGGCATTGCTTACAGGTTGTCTGGAGATGCTCATGGGCCATCCTCTGCCAGTGTTCCTGCTTCTTCTTCTCCTGGTCTCTGCTTCTTCCACAATCCTGTTAACATCCTGTTCTCCCACATCCCCCCTCCCCTCACAGCCCATCACGAAACGGCAAGTGCCAGCTATGCCCAAAGACCAGGAGGAGCCAAGACCACCCCCCAAACTCTCTGGGCTGTGGTCTCACCAGCTGAGGGGTCAGGCCGCGGAGCCCTACATGGGCAGCAAGACCCTGTTCCTCTGCTCTCAGCCACGCTGGAGCTGCCTGCCTCTGAGAAACTTCTTAGGGATGGTGAACAGATAACGAAGGTCACGACACAATGGCTGAAGAGCTTCCAGCCTTTCTGTGCCTTGCTGCCCCAGCTCTTCTGTGGGGAGCCAGGCTGGGGGGGGCTGATGACAAAGGAGATGCCCAGAAGCTAGAAACACGCAGAGGAGTTTGCTCCTGCAAGCATGGAGGATGCGTGTGTCCCTGCTTGCTACCCCAGACCAGAGGCTGTACAGGATTGATCTGGGGGTTACAGGAAAGCTGGGAGCAAGAGCCCCAGGCACCAGCCTAAAAAAACCTGTGTTGGAAGTGCAGCCATTCCCTGAACTAGGGGATTTTTATGTCTTCCTGGTACAAAGTTACAATTTTCAAGTTGACGGAAAGAATTTCTCCTGGGCTTTTCTGTGCTAACTTTTTCCAAGCTCTCCAGTATGGCTTGCTCCCTTTTGTTGCAGAAGCAACTGGGAGATGATCATTCTCATTTTCATGTCTCGTTTTAGTGAGGCACGCTACCACAAGTGTGTTCAGTAAACGAACACCATTTTGTCCAGAGACACAGTGGAAATTACAGGCTGTGAATGGTCTGAAGCTCTGCTTCTGCCACTGCAAATGTTTGCCTGCAGCCCAGGGCTTGCTTTGGTTTTTCCACTGGCAGTCCTCCCCCGAGGCACTCCGGCAAAGCACACACTGTCTGCACTCTGCTGCGCAAGCTGCCCCTGGGCTGAGACCAAATCCTCGGTAAATAATTAGCAATCAAAGGTCATCATGGTTCAGACCTTCCAATACAGCCGCTCCTGTTGAAAGTTAACCAGAGGTACTTGCAGCCAATGGTCCAGGATGAGCAAGAGAGAAAGGTTTAGGGAAGCAGCGTGGAGTGGATGTGCAATGGGGACAGGAGGAATTCTCTGGAAGTTCTGAGCAAATACCTGCTTCCAGCTCAAGGACACGGGAGGGCTCTGGCAGGGATGAAGCAACTGCAATGAAGAAGGGGACACCTGGACAGGCCTGAGCAGGGCACACCAGGGAAGCTGGGGCCTGAGACAGAGCAGCACAGCCAGCTGAGTGGGAGGAATCAAGGAAGAGCAGGGAATCCAAACCAACAGCCATGGAACACTCGGCAGAGTCCTGGAAATGAGCTCCAAGAGGGTAAATGAGACGAAAGGCAGTGTCTTCAGCTGGCTTTTAATAGGAAGCTGGCTTTGAAATTAGTAATTTGCAGATGTAGAGAAGGCACATGAACTTTAAGACAGCTCTCCAAGATCAGCTCCATTTTCTGCAAATAATTATTGGGGAAAAAAGAAAAAAAAGAAGAAAAAGATTATGGCTTCTCAGAGCAGCCTGTTGCTAATCACAGCGAAGGAACACTGCCTGTTATCTTGAAACACGGCTGACACTGACACACCACCAAAGGCTGATCCTGTTACTCTGGCATATTGCAACGAGCTGTGTGGAGAAGCAGAACAGAAATGCGTGGGCAGAAGAAGCGTAGCATCATGAGTGAGACTCTGCCACTGCTCCATGGCTCGGGTCACTTGAAGAAGAAGCCATACTTCAGTGGGTCCTCCTCTTCAACAGTGAAAGTGGCTGTACCAGTGTAAAAGGCTTCTCCCGAGACTTCCACGATGACAGCATTGTAGTCCCCAAACTTGGCTTCCTGCAGAAAGATCAGGATCAGAACAAAGGCAACAGGAGGTTCCCCGCTCTCCCAACCTCGTGACACACCAGCACTACCAGGCACTTAGGCAGAGACACCCCTCACTGAGCTCTCTGCCTTTCCAGGTACATCCCAAAGTCTGCAGCAGCCCTCTGACCTCAGCTTGCCCGCATCAGCTCCACACCCACACAACTGCTGCTGCCCCTGCCCTCAGCTTGCGAGCCCCTGCGCTGCCACAGCGGGGGTCTGCCTCAACGGAGGCCGACAAGCTGGTGGCTGCTTGCACCCAAAGACCGAGAGCTCCCTAGGGCACGTCCAAACCTTCACAGCCACCTGCTTCCAGAAGCCATAGGGACAGGGCTGGGACTGGAAATCTGGATGCACAGACCCAGCGCCTCCGAAAAACCTGCTCAGCCTTTTGAGCCGGGAGGAGGGGACTAAACCAGGAATCCACCCTTTAGCTGCCACTGAGAACAGACGAGACTGACTTATCTCTATCAGCACTGGAGATATTGCTCGCCCCTGTGCTCTCCTGATGGTTGAGGGAGGATTTGCAGGGAAACCACGCAGCAGCAGGTCTTGCTGTTACTTGCCTCCCTAATAAAAAATCCTGAAGCACGACGCTTGTTGGAAGGCAAGACCCCCAGGCACCTCCTCCTCCCATACGCGCTTCCCCAGGCACAGAAGCCTTTTCTGCTCCTCTGCTGAAGCCAAGCCAACAGCACTTTTCCAACAGTCCTCAAGACAAAGGGAAAGTCCGGCACAAGGAACTTGCCTTCACTGCCTTCCCAGTGAACAGGGACCCCGTGGTGCTGCTCCGAAAGCTTCTGGTCTGATTCAGCTGGATGAGTCCCTTATGGTACTGCAAGGCGATACGAGCTGTCACACCTGAACCTGTCGGACTTCGGTCGACCTACACTCAAGAAGAGAAGATGCACCAGCTCTAGTGTTCTGGGTTTTAACAGAAAACAGTATTGCTCCCCTCAGTTCTCCTCACCACCTTTACACTGCGCTTGGGGGGAACGCCTCTAGCCAGGGGTTTTGTACAGAATTCGGGTACATCACAAATGAGAAGACAAAATAAGCAGGTTTGGGGTACTTTTGGATTGTGATCAGCTTTGGCAAACTTGTAGGGATGAATGATCTAATAAATATTGAGGCTATTTAGGGAGCACTTGAAAGCTTCCCAGCATCATAGCAAAAGGACTGAGAGGGGCAGATGCCATTCTCAGGTGTCAAGGTAGGATCAGTTCTCCTTAAACTTCACTGAGAGAGCTGCTGGCCAGCCTGGCTTTTAAAATCTCCAAAAACGCAAAGCTGGCCAGCTTCCCAAGTCATCTGTCCCAATGCTCCACACTCCTTGCTACCGGAAAGTCCAACCAAAACTTCCCCTGATATTTATAGGATACCTTATCCACTGCAGACAAGGACAGAATTTTACACCCTCTCTTTTCTCTCTTGATCTGCTCGTCCCCAGCAACTGATCCCTAGATTAGAACTTGGAAGGAGGTGCACTATATTGGGATCTTGCCTCAGCCCCTGGACTCCTGGGAAATTCCTATCTATGGGACATGGGTACGAACCTTTTTAAAATGCCACCATCTAAGATGTGCAGAAGTATTTCTGTCATTAGGAACTAAACTAGACTGGGGTCAGTGACACTCAGGTCTTCAGAGCCACCACTGTAGCTGAAGAAATGATCGCTGCCCAAACGAGAAGAAACAGAACTACAGTGGATATAAGAAGATACCTTATCCACTGCAGACAAGGACAGAATTTTACACCCTCTCTTTTCTCTCTTGATCTGCTCGTCCCCAGCAACAGATCCCTTAGAACTTGGAAGGAGGTGCACTATATTGGGATCTTGCCTCAGCCCCTGGACTCCTGGGAAATTCCTATCTATGGGACATGGGTACGAACCTTTTTAAAATGCCACCATCTAAGATGTGCAGAAGTATTTCTGTCATTAGGAACTAAACTAGACTGGGGTCAGTGACACTCAGGTCTTCAGAGCCACCACTGTAGCTGAAGAAATGATCGCTGCCCAAACGAGAAGAAACAGAACTACAGTGGATATAAGGGAAAAAGGTGGTGCCTTGTGTGTCTGAGAGGATCCTCCTTCCGTACCTGTTCATCTGCAAACACGCAGATGTTGGTGGTGGGCTCCTCACTAAAGGCATCTTTCCCATCTGTCAGGATGGTGCCGTAAAGGAAAGCCAGGTCTTCGCTTTCAGGGTGATGAAGCTTGAACTGGGAACAGCACAGACGGGTTTCACCAAGGTGCACAGCGGCAGCACGAGCCGTAGAGCTTCCTCAAGAGACCAGAGGAAGGGGAAGGGGCCACACTGCTGCATTTCCACCTCTGCTTCTCCAGTAAGAGAGACAGGCGCAGCAGCAGGGCAGCGAGCTCCTTCTCACCTCCTTGTGAGGCTGGAGGGGGACTCTGAAATTCACCATGGGGCTGGAAAGATGGGGCTCCCTCCCACCCTGAGCACCTCCGGGAAACAAAGGGCCTTGGTGCGGTGTGGTCACCCTGAAGGGCACACGCTGAGGTCCCGCAGTGCTCCGCCATACCTGTTTCTTCACCGCTTCCGTCACCGCGCTCGCCGCGCTGACGAGGTCTCTGGTCTTTGAAGAGCAGACATCGAGGCCCAACTGCTCAGCACTGAGGAAGGCGTAGAAAGTGCCACCGTATCCGATGTCGACCATCACCTTCCCGTGACCGGGGACGTCAACGGCCAAGTCTGGGCAGAGAAAGGCGGTGAGGGGGGGAACCCATGCTGAGTGGGGGGTTCACAGGCGGAGCCAAGGAACCCAGCTGCGTGAAAGGAGACCGGGGCAACAACCCAAGCGCTCCCGTGACAGAGTGGGATGTGACACCTTAGACCATCCCCAACAGCCTCCTTCAGCCTTTGGAGAACAACGGAACCGGGGGGGGATTTGCCAAACACCCCTCAGCCCCCAGCCCGGCACGGCCACCACCAACCCCTCCCTCCCAGCTGCCGTGGCGCAGGCTCAGTCCCCACCGGTGGCAGCGGCGAAGGCGGGCACGCTGTGGAAGCGGACGGGGTTGCCGCTGCGGCGGCCGTCCCAGGGGACGAAGGCGGTGACGGGCCCGCAGGGGCACTGCAGGCGGACGGCGGTCTCGGGGCTGCTGGGCGCCGCCACCAGCCCGTAGTCCAGGGCGAAGCGGCCGAGGGCCAGGACGGCGTGGCCGCACATGGCGCTGTAGCCAGCCCCGTGCAGGAAGAGGGCCGCCAGGTGGGCGCCGGCGGCGGCGGCCCCGTGGGTCACCACCACGGCCCCGTACATCCCGGCGTGGCCCCGCGGCTCGTGCATCAGCGCCCGCCGCACGTGGTCCTGCGCGGCCGCCACCTCCCGCCGCAGGGACAGCAGCGACAGCTCCCCCGCCGCCGCCGCCTCCTCCGCCGCCTCCAGCCGCGGGACGATGCGCAGCGGCTCGCCGCCCGTGTGCATCTCCACCGTCTGCAGCACCGGGCCCGAGGGCGAATGCGGCGGCAGCTTCCGTCCGCTCCCGCCCGCCGCCGCCATCGCCACCGCCCGCTCCCTGCCCGGGAGGAGAAGCCCTGAGGAGAAGCCCCGCCCCTGAGGAGAAGACCCGCCCCCGCGCGAGGCCCCACCCATGGGCGGAGAGGCCCCGCCCCCTGCCTCTGACCACGCCCCCATGCAGAGGGCGGTGGCCCTCGCCCCCCCGCGCCGGAAGCGGAAGTGGCACTCAGCGGAAGTGGCTCCTAGGAGCTAGAGGGCTTGGCGCCGGGTTACCGGGATGTTCCGTTCCGGTAGGATGGGATGGGCCAGGCAGGCGACACCGGGGCTGGCGGTACCGGGCTGCGAGTGGGAGTGGGAGTGGGGATGGGGATGGGGGGGTTGTCAGCGGCTGGAGCGGGCTCAGGGTGGTGCTTGGTGGTTCTCGGCTGCGAGGGGGCCGGGCCGGGCCGGGTAACGGCCACGGTAACGCGGGCTGCGCTCTCCTCGCAGCTGTGGACATCCAGACCGCCTGCCTCGGGCTGTACTGCGGCAGGACCGTCCTGTCGGTCAACGGCTCTGTGGAGACCTACGGGGAGTGCGGGGTAAGTGCGGCGCGGGCTCGGCTCGGCCTGGGGGGGAGGGTTGGCCCCGCTCCCTACCGGGCCTGGCCCGGCATCGGCAGCGCCGGCCGAACCCCTCCGGGGGCTGAGGCAGATCCCGCTGTATGCGGCCCGCAGCCCAGGCCCGAAGTGACGCGGGGAGCGGGTGGAGATGGGGGGATACAAAGGGCGGACATAACTCCCTCACCGAAAGCGGGAGCTGCTGAGTGAAACGTCTCCGAAGGAGGTGCTGAGCTGGAGCCGAGCTGAGGGGCGGCCAAAGCTGGAGCAGGGCGGGATGGCACGGAGAGCTGCGCTGAAATCACGGATGGCATTGGGATGCAGAGGGAGAGCAAGGCCCAGGGAGGGTGGGATGAAGGTGGAGCAAGATACTCTGTGGGGCAGTGGCTGTGAGGGGGCTGGTGAGTGAGCTGAGCAGTGTAAAGGAGGCGGTGTGGCTGCCCGAGGGGAAAAGGGAGTCTTGGATGAAGCCTTTTAAACATGCTTTACCTTTATTTATATTAGAAAGCAGTCAGAGCAAGGGAAGTTGAGAAATCACTGATGTTAATGTCTCATCTCCTTAAAAATCTGATAAGTTTCTTGCTCCAGAACTTAAAGGTGTTTTCCCAGGAGCTGCAGTGATTCGTGGTTGGTACACAGATGCTTTGTGAACACGGTCTCTGCTCTTTGTAGGTATGCCCTAGAGGTCAAAGAACCGATGACAACAAAATCTGCCGGGAATGTACGGGATCTCCGGACCGCTATGACTGGCTGTACCTTGGCTTCATGGCCATGCTTCCCCTGGTTTTACACTGGTTCTTTATAGAATGGTATTCAGGAAAAAAAAGGTTCATATACCCAATCTTCAGATAAGTTATTTAAAAATGGAAATCTCGTATCCATGAGTGATCAGTCTGAAGTGTCCAACAGTTCGTGCTGCTGGTTGAGCTGATACGAGCAGCACATAAGCTTTGGGCAGCTGGAGGGGGGGTTTATTTACAAAGGTAAGAGTCCTGCAGGTCCTTCTTGCCAGTCACTGCCCTCGGGACGTTGCTGTGTCTCCGTAATGAGGTGCGGTCTGTCTGGCCATTTGGGCTGGGTTGTGTTTCCCAGCAGCGGGCAGGAGCAGTGTGGTGTTATCACCCCTTCTCTCCTGGGCCAGACCTACCGCCTGCGGAGGCCCCCATCAGCTGCACACGTTCAAGGAGAAAATGGGTTTGAGGTTTCTCTTTGGGAATACATCTACCGGCTTTTGGTCCCGATAACGTAACTGCTGTGTAACTGTTGATGTAACTTTTATGCCAGTATGGTGCATGAAGGAAGTTCTGTAAAAAAGGCATTTAAAACCACAGCTTCACGCAGCCATTAGCTGCTGGGCCCAAATGCTATTCAGTCACATTTTACACTTAAATCATCCAAGATGATGAATTAGTTTTCACATTCAGCTTCAAATACTTAACTTTTTATTCGAGCAGAGTTATCCCATCCTTGGTAGTGGTAAATATTGGCTCTGTAGCAGGTTCTGTGCTGCATGGGCCTCCACTTTCAGTTGGTGTTTACATTTCTTACGGTGTTAGCAAAATAGTAGTAAAAATATCTCTCTCTCTCTCTCTCTCTCTCCCCGCCTCAGTTCCAGCGCGTTACTGCAGCACATCACGGCCTTGTTTGAGTGCAGCGTTGCAGCGATCGTTACGCTGCTGGTCAGCGACCCTGTCAGCTCCCTGCACATCCGCTCCTGCAAGGTGAAGAAGCTGTCGGACTGGTACACCATGCTGTACAACCCCAGTCCCGACTACGTCACCACGGTGCACTGCACGCACGAAGCCGTCTATCCCCTGTGAGTGTGGAGGCTTTTGCACTCCCAACTGCAATTCCCTCTTACACAAGTGTGCTTCTCTCCGGGCCCCTTCTCAAAGCTGCAGAAATTGTTCAGATATAACTTGTGCCAATGAGCATCAGTCACCTGGAATCTTTTGTGCATTGAGCTGTTTCATGTGTGAAACACATGGCAGCACCTGAGAATTCCTGAGTCACCAAAGGAGGTGGCATAAATCCAGGCTATTTAGTTATGAAGTGTAACACTTCATTTTTTTCCCCCTTTTCTGTGTCTTCACTGTTTCCCCTAGGAAAAGTGAGCTCGTTGTTGTGTTTTTACATCCTTTGATTGTAAATTCTTTAGATTTCACTGACTCTAACCCCAAATTCCCTGGTTCTAAGTTGAGTCTGTAGGAGAAAAAGAACTGCACATCTTAAGGAATTTCTCTCTCTTTTTTTTTTTTTCCCCAGGTACACCATTGTGTTTATATATTACGCCTTCTGTCTTGTGTTAATGATGCTACTTCGGCCTCTTCTGGTTAATAAGATTTCCTGTGGTTTAGGAAAGTCTGATCGATTTAAAAGCATTTATGCAGCACTGTACTTCTTCCCCATCCTCACCGTGCTTCAGGCCGTTGGAGGAGGCCTGCTCTGTGAGTTCCCTCCTAATAACACTAATAAACATACCTATAAACACACACTAACAAGTGACTTGTGGGAGGGGGGGAGGGATATGACACTCTTTTTGCTTTGAGAATAAGGATGTTGTTTAAGGTTATTGTGAAGAGCCTTACCTGGAAAGGTTGCTCATTAGTAGCCCTGTCCTAACGAGGCTTGTGACCAGCATGGCTTTTGCCTCTGCTGGTGCTCCTTTCCCAGAAAAGGGAGTAAAGGGGATCTGAGAGGGATCCTTCAGAGGGAGTTAATTCCACTTTCTGTTAAGGTGGAGTTTGTCTGTTTTCAGAGGTGGATTAAAGTATAAGTTTGGGGAGATCAGCTAGTTTTGGCTTAGCTTCCAGCATACAGGTCCCTCAAAATCCCTACTCAGCCTGACTACTTTTCTCATTACCTGCCTTTTTCAATTAGTGATTTAAGTGTACATTAATGCCTCCTAGAAATATTAGGAAAAGTTTGAAAACCTAAGACAGAAGTGTTGAATAGTTGTGCCTGGCTGACCCTTTCTGCTGTGCGTGTTTGATGTGATGGTAAAAGGTGGGCTGTAGCAGCTTAGTTTACTTCACACCCATGGGTCTGTATAGAAAAACTCTTTGCTCTGCACATATATCATGCATTCTTTTCCCTGCTAATGTCTTCGGTGTTTGCCTTTAGATTATGCCTTTCCCTACATCATACTGGTGCTGTCTTTGGTTACGCTGGCTGTGTACATGTCTGCTTCTGAAGTGGAGGTAGGTAAACATGTTTCCTCTGATAAAACTCATAGTATAAAGTACTCGAGACCACTTTGTCTCTTGCCTTTTCTCAGCAGTATGTTCTGCGTTTAAGCCTCTTCCTTTATGACTTAGCTGGAGGAGGCTCCTGCAAGACTTCCCTCTTGTGGTGTTCTGAGAAACTGTTATGTGCTGGAAGGGCTTTGCACAGGCTCTGTGCCTGTGACATCTCTTAAACATGAGGTATTTGGGTAGCAGGATGAATGCTAAAAAGATGCTCTGTGTGTTTTGCAAGTCTTTCAAGGATCTTCTCATCAGGAAGAAAAGGCTTGTTGTCCTCTTCAGCCACTGGTTGCTTCATGCCTATGGAATCATCTCCATTTCTAAACTGGATAAGCTTGAGCAGGACCTGCCGCTGCTTGCCCTGGTCCCTGCGCCCGCCCTCTTCTACTTGCTGACAGCGAAGTACACCGAGCCCTCACGGATACTCTCAGAAGGTGGAAATGGACACTGAAAGGAGAAGGAGCCTGCGCCAACAACACTGCCCTAATCATCTGGATTGAGCAATTTTAGTGCTTGTTATGCTTTGGGAACTGCTGTTTTAAAAGAAGTTATTTATGTACAGGACTTCCAGGTGAAACACCTCTGAGTGAGACTGTATAATACTAAAAAGCTGCACTTTCTATTCTTCATAAGTATCTGGTATAGATCGAAGGGAATGTCTTTGTATCTATTTATCACTGTGAATTCATATAAAAAGCTTGTGACACAATCTAGTATAGTGGTTTCCTTGTATGTGTTTATTTCCTTATACGCTATTTTAGGTGGTGTTTGAATAAAACAACAAAGTTTTTCAGTAGACTTTCAGTAAAACAAAGGGAGCTTGAATGTAACACGGAGCTTGGTCTTCACATCACAAACTCTAGCTTCTGTTCCCACCAGTGGACATACACCCTCGTCTTCATAAAATCTGTTGAGCGTCTCCTCGTTTATTCTTTGTGAGGACTTAGTCTGCTAGTGAGAAGGAGAGGAAATGCATTCACTATAAAGTATAGATTGTGCTCTGTGTACTTCATGTATGGAGACTGCTTCCTGGAGATGATTAAACGGTAGTAGCCTTTCCATGAAATTAATTTTCCTGTTCCTTTACTATAATTTTTATATTATTAAAGATTTTCTGACAGCCTACACCTTTTGTCAGCAAGCTGCTTGCTGCTGGTAAGCCTGTGAAGCACCTGGTATCACCCCTTTGGCCGCGGTGCCGTACACGTGCTACAGCAGCACCACTGCTCAGACAGCAGCACGGTTTAGCAGCAAAGGAACAGCTCTTGGTGCCATATCCCCACTGCAATAATGGACATGGCTGGAATGACTGAAGTACAAAACCAGCACGGATTTAATAAAAAGAATTGGAGATTTGCTGTCACCTTAAAGAGATACCATTATTTCTGCTCTACACTCATCAAAATCATTATGTGAACGCCTTGATAAGAATTGCTAAAACTTCTGAGGCTGTTCAGAAGTGAGGTTTTGGCTTTGCTGAAGCCAAATACCCACTGACAAAGACAGTAGTCTTTTCTCTGTACTGTAGAGGACGATACCCAAAGCTTATATCCTGTGTATTCGTCACCAATAACTCAGTCTATAAAGGGTCTAGAAGAAGATGCAGAGCAGTGCTGAAGGTCTGAACACAGAAGAAAGAGTAATAGAAAGATCTTTTCAACTTAAACTCTTCTGTGTGGTTCATTGGCCGTAACAGTGCAAGTAACAGTGTATATTTCTATATTTAAGTGTGACATGAGCTCCTTTTTATTCTATTACCTATCATTGCCTCTCTATGCCTTTCCTGATCTTTTTCTGCGAAATGCCAGTTGACAGGTTCACTGCTTCTAAAAATAGCGTGCAAACAGTAAACTAAGTTTTGCATGCAGAAGTAAGGTTTTATTTGGGGATTAAGGAAGTAATTAATCTCCTTAAGGAAATCAAATGCTCTCCAGACTGCTACATACAACATTTGCAGACACACTAATCTAGAGGACAGTTCTAAAAGCATGGTTTTAAAACAACTTGTGTTAAAATACCATTTCCATAACTGAAAGTCATAGGCATATCTTTCTTTAAAATGTTCTAAACACAGTTCTGTCTCTACATTTGCATAGCTGTCACATCAGTGCACACACAGGAGACGTGAGAAGCCAGGACAGCACCGTGCAGGAAAAGCCATTTGCAAAGGTGCTGTGCTAAGGACTGACCACTTCTATGTGCATTTCCATGTATGGACTATGTGTATTGGGTTTAAATATTGAGCTATGCCTTGTTTTTAAAAAGAAAAGCAACAACTCCTCTCAGGTAATATTATCTTTTGATAGGTCTAGAGAACCATGTGTTGGTTTTAAAGGCTGCAGAAGAGGGGGCTCTATTAAAAGGCAGTGCAACCCATGGATACCCAAACACTGACCTTACTGCGGGGGCTCCGGTGCTTTAGCCTCCTCCAGTGCTTTAGCCTTCAGCAAAACCTGGAATGCAAAATACAAATTAAGAAAGTCTTTTTACCACCTTCTCTCACTAGCATAAAAAAATGGTAATGGCAGCCAAAGAGTTAGGTAGATATAACTAGATAAATGCATGCAGTTTGGAATGACCAAGCAACGTTTTTGCGTGGGCTCCTTGTGAAGAAACCTGCCCTGCTCATCTCACACAGAAAATAATACTGGTACCAGCTTTCAGGTAAGTGGGATTCTCTTCTGCTGTGTGTTCACCATCCTTCTCCTCTCTGCCTGACTTCCAGGGACATTCTCTTCCTCTAAAAATTCATCATTCCTCTCCCTGGTTTCCTGTCACATTACCCAGACCCAATGATTTGGAAGTAGCCTGTACACAACAGCCTTTTGGTTTTATTCTGTATAAAAAAACACATTCTGTAACAAGACAGTGGTCGTAGAGTGACCAAACCTGTGACTCATTACAAATGAGACCTCTGTGAACCAACAAGTAAAGCAGGTATCTATAGGATTTAAGTTAAAAGGGGGTTCTGAAGCAAGTGAAATTTATGTGCCGAGGGTCCCTGTGTAATACCACCCCTCCCCAAGACTATAGAATATTGTTCATTTAAACAGAAACAGCAGTACAAGTTGCCCACGCGTAATATTCTAGAGAACATAAACATTAATGAACCGTATAGTCCTACAGTGATAATCACACAACCACAGGCTGCGGGTGTTGGGGGGTCTGTTAGTTTTATTTATCCTTTGTGGAAAAGCAAACATATAGTTCTGGAAAGATCAGTGATGCTTAGGCTGTTTTATAGCCCCCTCAGTGTTATTATCTATTGCCTTTAGAAAGTGGCAATTAGGGATAATATTATCAGGCTGTGTTATAAACCATGTCTAGTTCTTCTAATAAATACACCAGCATGTCTCCATCTGCAGCAGAGGGATCAGATAGAACTTGGCTGTACTACTTGTGTTTTATCACAAACTGCTAAGAATTAACATATCCTGGGATTTTTTTAAAAAAAGGAGGGGGATAAAAGAAAAAGGAAAAGAAAAAGTTTAGTGTATCTTACAGTGAGCATCCATTCTAGATTTTTTGAGAATCAGAGAATCCAGTTCTCCGAGCTTATTCTGTAGCCTGCTATTAATATCACCAATCTTCTCCTTTCGCTGTTGAATTTTTGTCATTAGAGCTGTCACTTCGTTCAGTATTTCCTGCTCATTTTTCAGAAATTCCTGTAATGACACAGAGCAGAATTCATTTTTTTCTTAAAAGGAAAAAAACAAAAAAACAAACAAACAAACAACAAACAAACAAAAAACCCAAACCCCTCAAAATGTTAAGAATGTTGTTTTGTTTGTCTTGCTTTCCCACAGCTTGACTGGCCACCAGACCTTTAGCTCTGTTGGAAGTTTTTCATTAACTACCCAATCCTTGCATAAAAAGAGCAAAGTTTGCCCTTCTAATGGAATAACTGGTGAAAAACTTTCTTAAATGGTAGTTTGGTTTAATACCTGTTCAAACTGAAGGCCATCCCCAGCTGGAAAAATATAACAAGACTGATGAGCTGAATGTAGAACAGCAAGAACATTACAAGGTACAGGTGTAAGAAAGGCTTGAATATAAGACCAGGAAAAGGAACAGTATCAGGAAAAATTATTTTTATAGCCAGGACTTTTATACAATGTTGGAAAACATAGGTTTACTACTTTGCCCTTGTACAACTTCCAAGGTTGTAGTCCTTTATTTGCAAAATGCAATTTTAATTTTTACATGGTAAATGAAATCTATTTATGTAAAACAGTACAATAGAAAATTGAAATTCACCTTTTGAATAAAGTTCTCCTCTGACCATCCCTTCAGAAGGAGATCTACAACAAAGTTAACAGTTAAAATGTAGTAGATTGCTGTGCCAAAAAATGACATAAGGACTGAAAGTTATTATTTAAAAAATGTCACTTTTTGGTTTTGAAATAGTTATTAACATGTTACCATGAAGCACTGTTAGGTCATTCAGGATTTTGACTGTTGCTGACTTGTGGTTTTCTGCTTCAGCATTCATTGCAAAAATTTCTTCTTTTATCTGCTCGTTGCACTGTGAAAAAATAATTACAACTGAATAATTCTCTCGAAATTCTTCTAAATAATTTCCTATTTCATACTTTCTAAAAAAACCACAAAAAATAAACTGAGTTTTAGGTCATTGTATTCCTGTGAACACACTTTCTTTCAACAACAACATCCATTTCATCTTGTTGAACAAATTTTAACAGTTGCCAAAATCAACACAACCCAGCTATGTCTGTGCTACCAAATAAAATGGATGAGGATGCTGAGAAAAGCTGGAGCAGCACAGGTCATGTGCAACCAGGGAAACTCTCCTCACTCCCCCCCCCCCAAAATAGGATGGACTCATTCACATGGGATCAGCTCTACCAGGACCCAGCTCGTACCGTCCCAGTTTGGCTGAAATGCATGAGGTGGCCCAGGTCAGGCAAAATAAACAGCATTCCCTGGTGCAATGCAGGTGTCAGAAAAATCAGAGCTTCTCAGCTTCTGTTAGTGAACTGAACATAAAGGGAGGGATGTTTGTAATGTAACCAAGTGTTCTCTTCCTGAGGGAAACCTTTGTTTCCATAAGGATATAATCAGATAGGGCTGCAGAGTAGCTGGTACCCAGCATCTGTAGTGCTAGCACACAGGGATTCAGGCAACTGCCCTTGCAGCAGCAGAGCTCTGTGCCTGCAGGCAGCAAACGGTGCGCAGGGTTCAGATGATCTCAGAAATTTAGTCCCCGTGGGGTTGATGGCAGCCTGGTAACAGTTGGCAATAAAACCACTTTTAGGATGTCGTTTATGGGGAAGGAGGTTCTACTACGCTGGTAGCCTGGGACCTGAAAGGTATACAGAGGATCTTCAAATAGATTCCAAATTGTGCAGGCCTATTCTACATCTCACAGTTGTCTCAGTCCCCTTCGTGTGTCAGGAAGGCCTTTTCCTACAATCCCAGACTGAATGCAGCAATTATACAATACTGATTATGCCTCAGGTAGAGGCCTTGCCCTTGAATATTCCTCTTTGTTTCCTTTTGAATTAAACGCAGTTCCACACATGTATTTAAAAGGGCAGGTTTGTCCTGTGCTGTTTATACTTCATCATCTTCTACAGCTAGTTCTCTGTGAAATGAAAAATGATCAGAGAACTTCATATGGAGAAGGAGCACTGTCACGCTCCAATATACTCACTAATTGGAGTCTGCAGTTCTCGGTGATCACAATGTCGAGTTTCCTGTTGATCTCATAGATGTCTCGTTCTAGCAGCTTCATACTCTCTGTATGATTTTTCAATTGGTCAATCACAGCATCACGCTTGATCCGCAATTTGTTCCTCAGCTCCAGCTGTTAATAATAAGCTCTTTGGTGCTAAGTGATCTTTATATAGGATTTGTGTAATTAAATAAAGAGTTTATGTGGCACCTTTCATTTTAAAATGTCAATGTACCATCTCAGACAGGCATCTATGCCCTCTTACCAACAAGGAGGAAGAGATACGGAGAGGAGAAGTGATTGTTCATGGTCCACAAGATAGGAACAAACTCTGACATGAAGTGATGTGACCTTCCTGCTGCAGGCTCACCCAATGACAAGGGCACCACTTTCTGTCACTGGAGGCTCAGGTGTACACAACTGTTTCATTGTGCTATTCCTATTCTAATATAGCTGAAGAACAGGTCTCCCTTCTCTTAACAGGCACAATTTCTGTGTTGATGTGGCTTCTATGGCGCTCATCCTAGATGTTTGCCCATTACCAGACCACTGGGGCACGAATCCTGCAATCTGACCAGCTCTTAAGAGCCCGTTATGTAGTTTATTGAGCTTGTCTTATACTTCTCAGTAACTAAAGATACTTTGATTCTTCCTATTAAGAGCAGAAGGTGTGACTATGTTCCTTTTCCACTTAAAAGTTTTGTTCCAGCAGACAAACAGAAAGTAAAAGCAATCTGATTGTTTGCCTGGAATGTACAGCCCAGCTGAAATAAGTAGATGCCCCACAGCTCAGATATTTTGAGCCACTGGAACAAATTCCACAGCCATAGAAGTTTCTCTCTCCTTACACTGGTGCTGATTGAATGCTGCAAGTTAGAAATGAGAAATACGGGTAAAGCAGCAAGGATACAGAAAGATTTTTCAAATACAGGTTACTGAGGTGGCAGAAATTCCTGCCTGTGGGAAGCATCTGAACAGAAGCAGGTTCACAAATGTCCTTAGTTCACCAGCTTCTTTTTGACTTGCTCACTTGCCTAAGGAATGCAAATTACACCAGAAGGGCAGCTTGCTATAAATGCTAGGCTTAGGCTGAGCTTCAGTCTGAGGCATCCCCCAGATGGAAACACAGCAACAGAGAGGAACCTATGTCCCGAGCCCCAGTCTCTCTCCTCCAGCCTTCATGGGTGTCCGACCTTTACTGAGAGGAAATAAAGCTGGTGGTGTCAACTTTGCAGAAGTAGTACAGCTAAGTTTTAGGTTATTACCTTGTTCTCCTTGAGCTTCCCGGTAGTTTCGATGGACTGCTGAATAGCTCTTTGGATTTGTAGCTCTTCATCTTTCTTTTCTACAAAGCAGAGAAAGGGTTTTTAGACAGCGTAATGACTGAACATTACAGTCAAGCTGTTAAATAAATCTAGGTGATCTGTTTAATTGGTCCATCATTTTTTAAAATAATGCTTTCTATTTGTGTTATGGACATGTGTATAGATTCCAGTTGCTGCAAAGAGCTGAATTTATACGCTTCATAGTTCATTTGAGCCATAGGCAGACAATTTTGGAAACAGCAAGAGAAAGCTCCTCTAGGTAGAGGAGCTACTTAACACTTACGTAAAAATGATTTCTTCAGTTCTTCATATTTTGTAAACTCCTCTTCTCTTTCCCTCTGGGTTTCTTCCAAGGTTAGCCTGCTTATGTTTAGTTCTTCTTCTTTTTTAAGTAGATATTCAGTTGCAGATTTGATGTCATTCTTTAATGAAATTAATATTAATCAATAATCTATCTAAGCAGCATTTAATACATTAATAATTCAACATGTCCAGAGGAGTGAAAAACAGAGAAAAGAATACTGGAAGAGATCCCAAGAGGTCATCTTAGTCCATCTCTCTGCTCTAAAGCAGAATCAATTAGACATAAGTACCCACGACAGATGTTTGATGTGCCCTTAAAAACCCTAGTGGCAGAGAGACCATGTCTCAGACAACCAATTCCAGGGTTTTACTAACTGTGCTGTCAATGCTGTCTCAGGGCCCAACTTTTTCTCAAGTTAAATCTATTCTGTTACGTGTTATTTGTCTCAACAAGTGGACAAGGAGAAAAGCTTATCATCTTGCTATGAATTTTTATTTAGTTGGTAGTTACTACCATGTTTTCTCTTAGATTTACCGATTTGAAATTCTGCACATTTCTTCAACCTTTTTTTGATCAGCTATAGTGAACTCCTCTTGGATCTCAAAATAATCTACATCCTCCTTTAAATGAGTTGATCAATACCGGATGCTGTATTCCAGCTGTGTCCCAGCGAGACCAGCTAGGGTAGAGAACATACAATATAAGCCTTGCCAGGCTCAGCTGTTTTATACAGACTGATCTGACAGTTGCCTTTTTCCTTACTACAAATCTTTGTTTACTTATGTTCAACTTTTCAGCGTTAGTTATATTTATCACACCCTAAATATGTCCCTCATAATGGATTTGTACAGACAACTGTTTCTACCTAAATGAAAAAATATGGATTATTTTTTATTATTAAGACCTTTTTCCCCCAAAAAATTACGTTTTCAACTTGCTAAATAATTCTGAATTCTTGTTCTGACCTGCAGAGGGTGCTCCCACTCTTACCGTGTTTGTCATTTGCAGATAGGATAAGCGTTCACTCTAACCTATCACCTGAGTCATAAGGAAAAAACAGATTAATTCCAGTATGAGAGTAGACCTCCTGCAAACTAACGGGGACCACGGTTCTATTTGGTCAGTAAAGCTTGGGTAACTATTATGTAGGATGATTTTTCCAACTGTTTTGTAGCTGGGATTCTCCAGCCTGGCAAAGAGACAACTTTGAAGGGACACACAATGAATGCGTGTAAAAATCACACATCTTTTCTGGAGAAGATGAGAAGGCAACTGTTATTCACTGTTTTTCATAACACAAGAGCTGCAGGATGCCAATAAACTTTTGAGACAGCAAATTTAAAACAAAAGAAAATTCTCGTCCTTATTAAATAAATCATATGTTATAGGTTGTTACAGAGGAAAAATGTATATGTGCTCTAAAAGAATCAGTGATAGGAGAATATTGCTCTGAAGATCCAGCATAGCACAAAATTCCATCAAAAGCTACTCAATGCAGATACCATCTCCATCCAAAGAAGTTCCTGACACTTCAATTGTCATGGAGATTATACAGAAGAAGATTAATTCTATGTTTGACTGTTCTTAAACTACTTCTCCAAGCAGGACTATTCTGCTGCATTTTTTAAGGACCAATAGCAGAAGGATGGGTCAAAAGAATTAAAAAAATGAGAAATATGGAGGAGAATAAACAAAATGGCAAAAAGCAAGTGCAAGAAAATGCTGAAAGCTCCAAAAAAAAAATGGGGAAGAAAAAAAAAAAAAAAGGAAACTTCAATTGTTTCATCAAAATGGTAGGAAATGAAACCAAGGCAGGAAAACAGTTTAAAAAAAGGAGAAAATGGTAGAGTGTGTTACTGAATGAAAATACACAGTTTCAATTAATTTTTCAACCTGACTCTGTCCAGGCCACTGTCCTGATTTGAGGTGAAACAGAGATAATTTTATGCTCAGTAATTTTACTTTTTTAGCTGTGCCTCTTCTAACTAACTAAACTCTGAAATTAACAGGATCTTGTTCAGAAACTGTTCACTCTCACAGCAATAAGACCTGATTATACCAAGGAACAGTATGTAGAGAGGTTCTTGCTTATATTTATTACTTTAACAATAAGGACAGGTAACTTCTTTATTGTCCTGTTAGAGGGTTGGAAGCAGAGAATGGTAGAGGGGTCCCACGTGTGGGGAGGAGAGGACAGGAGAGGTGACCCAAACTGACCAACAGGGTATTCCATCCCATCTGCATCATGCTCAGTATTAAAGGTGAGGGATCAAGGGGTCAGCTCTCTTTCTTCAATGGCTGATGTCTGAGGAGGACCCTGTCTCTTCGTCTGCCTTTGATCCCGATCCGAGTATTCCTGACTCCAGATCCGGAATCCAGCTCCTGTCCATCACCGAGTCCAGTCTGGGACTCTTCCCTGTGCCTGCTCGTGATGTGATCGTCATCCCAGGAGCTTGACATGGTTTTGTATATGCTGTATACTTTTTTTTTTCCCTCTTTTTTTTTTCTTATTATTTATTATTTCATTATTTATTAATATTTTCATTAAAGTAGTTTAGTTTTTTTCTAATCTCATACATCTCTTTATCTCTTCCTCTCCTCTCTTTACCTTAGAGGGGGGAGGCAGGGGCCATCTGTCATTCTGATTGGTCAATCCAGTCAAAACTACGACAGCCACAAAGGGACGGGCAACCCGCTGATAACAGTTTCATCAGCACCTGATTCATCCAATCTCAAATCAGACTGTTGACCAAGAGTCAGACAGTTTCCCTGGGGACAGAGGATATACTATACACCAAAGACTGCAGAAGTACTTGAAACCTTTGCAAGCTCTGCATAGTTCAGATTAAGCATTTCGGTGTCCTCCTTTCTTTGGGAAAGAAAGTTCATCAGTGCTTTAAAGAACACTGACACTAAGTAGCCTTGGGCTATATCTTGTACACCTTCAGTCACTCTAATAGATTTACAAAAACAGTAATTCAGAGGAGAATCTGATTAGTGTCTAAAATTAAGCTGTCATATTTCCATGACTGTTGGTCCGTTTACCCAAAAATGATGAAACACATCCTACATTAACAGGTTATACATTTGGAGCCTCACTACAAAGCTAAACTGGATGCATTTCAGAACTGAATGTGGTCCTGAACATATATATTTTTTTTAAATGGGAGGCATCCCTTCCGAGAAACACCTTCACTGAATTCTTTTGACATAGATGCCCATGTGTACATATACGTATATGGGTGTGTACTGATTCCAGTGTCTCAATCTGAGGGTCTTAACTGCTTCTGAGAACAAAAAAAAAACCAAAACAACAACCTGAAAAGTAGAGAATTTTCTTGAAATAATTACTGACAGATATGTCACATTTAAGCATTGCTCCAACAAGCATAGCTGCAATGAGGTACAACAAACACTGCCAATTCATCCATTGAAATATTCCCAAGGTTAATAAAAAGAACTACAAAACTTACCTCCAGATATTTCATTTTGTTACTAAAATCCTCATTATAATTCCTGTAATCATTTTCCTTCTTACTTGCTTCTTCACTCAGGGCTTTGACTTCATTTTCAGACTGAGTAAGCTTTCTCTCAAGGTCTTCAATCTCATAATGGAAAGCAAAATGAAGGTCAGTGATTTCTAAAATACGTTACATCTAACCTGGACCACCCAAAAATAAACTAGAGCAAAATGAGAGCAATCTGGATTTAAAACACAACACCTGCTAAGATAAATAATTGCTTTAAAATCATTATTAATAGGAGTTAGGGTCAGATCACAGAATCACAGAATGGTTGTGGTTGGCAGGGACCTCTGGAGGTCATCTTGTTCAACCTCCCTGCTTAAGTAAGGCCCCTTCGAGCAAGTTGTCCAGGACCATGTCAAAACAGCATTTTTAATATCTCCACGAATGGAGATTTTAGATCTTTAGATACTGAAGATCTTTAGACATGATATCATATTTAATAGCTTAAAAAGAATTTGCCCTTAGAGGTTACTTACGTCAGTATCACACTACTCTGATTATGTACAGCATGAACATACCGTAACATTGGATGTAGTGCTGTTTAACATACCTCCATAAGTAGTCCAGCTTGCCTTTTTTTGCCAGCTTCTATTCTTTCATTTAATTTTCTGTTTACATTCTCCTCTTCTGAGAACAAGAGTTTTGTCTGCTTTCCTAAGTACAGTAGCTTCCACTGAAGCATTACTCTGGTGACAGACACATAAACAGAAATAAATTGAAATTGGAAGAAAAACAGAGAAGGGAGACAACATTATATGAGGAACTGCAAGCCTAATTTAAGTGATTGGAAGACTCAAATGTATCTCCTGTAACTTCAGGACTACAATCAAAGTGATTCAGGTAGAAATCTAGGATCCTGACAAAATCTAGGAGGGATGCATGAAAAGGCATAAAAACCTTTTAAAGTGCCCCTCTGTTTGAACTGAACCTGGAGGAGTCTTAAGGTGACTAGTCTCACTTAAGTGCCTCTGTTATATGCCCAAATAACTTGGTAAATTTAGCTTAGTAAATTGGAAGGGACGAGATTTCACAGTCATGAAACCCTAGGCTTTGTAAACTGTGAAAAGGATAAAAGACAACACCAGTACAAAACCAAAGAGAGAGTACCTGTCTATGTGAAAATGCAGACTAGACGTCAGAAAAAAAATTATTCTTAGTCATCAAACAAATAAGATTTTAGAATGACATCTTAATGAGGGTAAGGGGGGAAAGCAACAATGGCTTTTTGGAATGAGCATGATTGTTTTTTGAAGACAAAGGTATAATGTAATATTCAGGGGAGACCCAGACTGGACTAGATGAGCAAGAAATCTCTGGATCTCTTTGCACCTCACATGACAGAATAATCAAATGAGAAGTCAGAGCTGCTGAGCTAGTGTGAAGTAGCTGAGCAGACAATGGGTTTATTTTGGAGAGTACCCTATCAACTGTAGGGGACTAAGCAATTACCAAATTGACATTTTTTTTCTTGCCAAGAATAAAGAGAAAGTAAAAATCACGTACAAGTAGGCATTAATGGAAGAAAAAAACCCCCTATTTAGTACATAGGTCTCAATGCTCTGAAAAGAAGGTATCTCCATATTGGTGTGGAATGACAGCACCTCAAAAACCAGATACACAAAACTGATTTTAGACAAACATTATGAGCAGACCTCCAAGAGCTTCAACTAAAATCAGGCAGTTGCTGAGAAATTCAGAACCAGCCAGAAAGCTTTATATCACTCTGACCTTAACTCCAGCTGCAATCAGTCACTTAGATTACCCAACTAAAGCATTTTCTTCAGGTAACTCACACCACTGTGGGTAGACACATGTGCATATATGAAGAGTGATGCAAACTACTTCATGGCAGATATTCTGAATACACATAAAATAACCCTTAATCTTTTTGTGATCTTTGTGTAACACGCTCCTTACAATTCTTTGCAATTTCACCTCATGATGAAATACCTGAAAATGCAAGGATATCTCACTTTTACTGACTCTGGCAAAGGGTTTATCTATATAACAGCTGGACCTCCAGGTCCCACCAATCTGATGACCTGATCTGAAAAGATGCTCAGCACGCAAAGAGCCCATATTTCCTAGCTGGAGCTGTATGTGCTTGATACTGCAGGGAACTGGGACACTTTTCAAATTTAATTCAATGGCAAAGCTCTCACCGACCTCAAAGGTCCAGAATCAGCTACCAATGAGCATAAATTTAATTAAAATAATAATAAAAAAACCCAAGTACTTTTACAGTTTATGTAAGTGTCCATATCCTGGAAAAATCCCCAATAGCTTATAAAATAAAGTAGAACATTTAATGTCATAGTGATGAAAGCCACTTATACAGAAATTCAATGGTTCTTGCCACTTGGCACTATAGAAATTCTATTCAAAAGAAACCATGGGCATATTTGAGGAGATGCCCTTTTATTTGCCATTATATCATGGAATATTTATATAGTGAGGCTTTGGGTTTATATCTTTGATATAATAAGAGCAACAAGATGCAGTAATTCATTAAGTTTCTGCTTTGTTTTAAAGAAACATTGCACACTTTCTGTTGTATCCTACCTTTTCTCATTTTCCATCTTCAAATCTTGCTCTAGAGATGCCAGCTCTTTTGCATACTTCTCCCTGATATTTCTGGGGGGCAGAAATAGAAAAACTTTCAGAGATAATGCTGAAGTTTTGCAGAACATTTCGTTTATGTCAATTTTTTAGTACAGTTTTTCAAATTTTCCTTCCTACCCACCAACCAACATGCTAAGCACTTGCTCTGGTTGGAGAGAGGCAATATGGTACCTGTTGGTCACATCTCAAAAACATACACATACTAGTGTTCAACCACAGCTGTGTGTTACACATTGTTGTTTCTCAGGTTGAAAACATCAGTTTAAAATTAAGAGGTTCTTGTTAGGAACCAAGGCAGATCAAGGACTACGTCTATCAAGACAGAAACAATAAGCAAATGCAATACACAAAAACAGATGTTTCGGAAACGAACAATTACTCTAACATATTAGCAGCAAGTACTATGAAAGAATATTTTCTGAAGTAGAACTTCTGGCCAGATGGACAAATTAATCTATTTGAATTTCTTACATATATGTTTTTTCGTGTATCATGTGACATAAATATTAAAATGCATTAAGTTTATACGTATTCAACACATGCCAGGAGAGTTTAATACAATAAAAAAGGTTGATAATATGAAACCAGTGATTCTCACTCCTTCAAGACTCAAAGATGGTGGAAAGCATCCACTCAAAACCCTATCAGGATTTACAAAGAGGGGCATTTTTCCAAAGGTTTTATTGTTAAAAAGGCAAAGCTGAATGTATCAAGCTAGTTATGCAAGACATTTCAATAGTAGTGGAATGTGCCCTGAAAAATCACAGTTCTTCTATTCCATACTTTCCAAAACTACATTCACTGTTGTCAAGTCAGTGGGTTTCTCAGATCAGTGGGTTTAATCAATTGAAGATTGCCCTGTTTTAATGAGACCTGACAGTCTAAATTTGAAAATGTTCATTACAAAAAAAATAAAAATCAGTCAATCTTGTAAGGTGAATAGTAAGATTCTGAATACATTGCATATTACTTTTAGAGAAAATAAAAATTAGTAAGCCCTCTTAATTTTGATTTCCAGTTTTGTGGCTCTGCTAAAGTGACTGGGAGGTCTGTGTGATGTACAGCAAAATTAAAGTATTCTGGCTTTGATGCAGAGGGGTGCTTTTAAGTCAGTGAACATTCACAAAACAAGATAATTACGTACAAACAAAATAAAAACCTAGGAAAGCACGGAGACATGGACTGGAGAAAGGGGATTTTTCAGTCAGTTTTTCTAAAAGGTCAGAGCAGCGATGCATTTTGCACAGTTCCAGGTAGCCTAGTTTAAAAGCTGATGGACTCTGGGAGAAAGCTCTTAGAACCCTTTACTTTCATTAGTGAAGATATCCAATTAACATCAAGATACATTGTGATGATTATTTCACCTCATTATATTAACTTAGTTTTATGGTGTAGACTCCATTGTACTTCATTACAAGTTCTCCTCTCTAGCAGTGCATAGCTACCTCCTTTTTAACAGTGTCTGGCTACCTCACGGTATTATTTTTTTTGCATCCCACATCTACATGGCAACAATATCTCCTTTGTCAGGAAAAATGCAGACATTGATCCTATCAAGATAGAAATGTACTTCGTTTCCTACAAAGCAGAACAAATGTATTGTATGTTTTCTTATTTGATATGAAAAGGGAGGTGAGTAATCATTTTCATAGATTTCAGTTATAATTATATCCGTAAGTAGGGCAACTCCATCTTAACTAAACATTTCTCAGGAGGAATAACAGGAATACAGGAATAACAGGAATACAGAAATAACAGGAGATAACAGGAAGACCCTAGGAGCACAGCCCCTTCAGTGCCACACTGTGAAAACATTGCATAGAACCAGGATAGTTGGTGTCACTCAAAACACAGAATACATGCAAGTATTTGGCTCTGCTAGGTTTGGGTGACATAAGCTTAATTGCTTGAACCTTTTTACTTTCTCTTGCAAAGGATGACTCTCCGGCAGAGACAAAAAGAAAAGCTTCCCCCTTTGTCAGGATTACCCTTCTTATATGACAGAATGTGATTATCAGTGTACAAGATAAGGCATTGATTTCCTGATTCTCTAGCAAATAGGTGAGCTGGGTCCAACGCAGCACACCTGGGGACAGCACACACTGCCCCCTTCTCACCTGCGGCAGCAAAATCCCAAATCTCTTCCACCAACTACAGGCTAACAAACAGAGAGCTGCAGTGCTTTTGCCAAGCTCCTCCCAGCTGTACTTCACTGCATAGGGCACGGAAAGTCTGTTCTGCTTAGACTACACAAGTCAAAGATTTCTTTTTCAGAGAAACTCTGTGCACTAGATTTATCTGAGTAAAAGCAGATTTTCTTAGATACCACCAAAACTGGGTGGTGGCTTAGTCCAAGAGCTGGTATCCCAGTGTGGAGTTCACAGTCTCAACTGTTTGTGTAGTTTTACATCTTGCACTGCTTCAGTATCATTCATTATTTCTATGTTCATTGCTTGGTGATAAGAAACTGCAGATTAAATTAGGGTAACCTCTTTGTTGTATGAAGATTCATACCAGCCTAACAGTATGGTTCATAAACCCATTTAACTTCTGTATTGAATGTTACATTTCAGAATCTCTTAAACCAGCTGAACTCCTGAGTAAACAGTACTGAGACAATTTACTATTGTCAATATTGAAAGATTACATACAGTAGGCTGTCTTCAAGATTTCCGACTTTTTTCTGTAGGTTTTTATTTTCCATCATATGATTTGCCAGAAATTCAAGCATGTCATCAAACAAACCAGATATTTTTCCCAATCTACCAGAAAAAAAAAAGAAATGTTAGACACTTTGTCAGAAACATGATCTCACTATGTAGCAATAAGAGCCTTAGTCATAAAATCAAAAACTTTAAAAAGTTGACAGATAAAACATACTTTGCCACCATCTCATCCTTTTTTGTAGCCCAGCTTTGCTCTTCTTCCAGCACTTGTTCATACTTCCGGTACGCAGGTTTATTTTCTAATTTAAGTTTTTTATTCAGGCATTTAGCATTGTGTAGATATTCCTTAGTCTAGAAATAAGGACCACAGATGTTAGCTTATTATTATTTCTGTCTCCTACCCAGTCCTGCCTAACGTCAGTATGGCAGAGTTGTTAATGGACCAACACCTTGGCTGACATGTGCACCTCATGTCATGCTTTGTGCCGGCCAGTTCTCATTGAGTGCTTCAACAAGACAAGGCCTAATAAAAACTCTGATCCAGAATAAAAATATCTCTCTTACCTTTTCAAGTTCCTTATCAAAATCCTCCTTTTCTTTGGCAATTTTTGATTGTAAAAGCAATAACTCAGAATCAAGTTGAATTCTATTAAACAAAGCCAATGTAGACATATTTAGGAGGGTATTAAAAATATTTTAAACATTATTAAATATTATGCATTCTTATTCTCAAGCCCCTCAAGTGAATGTAAGCTATGTGAATATCCGTATCCATTTGAGCTCTAGTCCATTCAGATATCCTTATTCATTACTTTTCTCTAATATATCTGATGAGAAGAAAACAGGCAGAGAAGGCAAGGACAAACAGAAGAGGTAGGCTTTCTACTGCAAGATATTAAAATACAAGCCATGGAAGGTTTGTGGGGAGAGGCAATATTTTCTATAAATTAACTCATAGAAAAAGTACACAAGCAGAAAGCAGTCAGGCTTCCAGGTAGATAAGTCCTACCAGCAACAGGTCTACAGGTTAAAAAGGGAAAGTTTGAGCATAGATTTATCCTTCTTGCTTCTGATGGACATTGTGTCTTTGTGTCTTTTACAGGATACAGTCAGAACAAGGGATACTCTCTTCCTTCCCTATCTTCTATACAAAACTGGAGTCATGCAAGAAGCAGGAGCCCACCTAAAGAAGTGTTTGAAAAAAGAAATCTGATAGAGAAGAGAGGATATCAAAAAGAAAAAAGAGGAAGCCCCAGCATCCTAGTAGTTTCACAGCAAGCGAATATAGAAGCAGAAATGCATATTGACCAGGCTTTGAGAGTAGGTACCAAGCACTGTAAAGGAAAAAATACCCTGACCAGATTTTTTCTCAACTCCCTAACTCATCTGTTATATCCAATAGTAGAATTAGTTATGAAGGACACACACTCTAAAATAAAGACCTTCACAACACTGAGCAGCTATAAAAATACAGCACAAAAAGAACAAAAGAGACAATGCTTCTGTTACACTCAGACTATGAAATTCACCATAATACACTGCTCTGTGGTCATCACCAGATCATAGCTACTTGGAGCCACAAAACACAAATGTGGTCATCTTCACTAGCACAAGTATTTCTACTGAAGTTAATACTGAGGAGAGTAAAGATAAGCCATTTATATCTGCCTACAGGATCAAGGGCCACGACTGGATGCTGGCTGCAGCTCATTTTTTACAGTAATTACATCATTAATTAATGGCAACATTCATTTCATGAAGACATTAATGAATTAGTGTGCCATCAAGAAAAATAGTAGAGTTCAGAGCAATAATTTTACCCAAGTTTCCAAGAAATTACATTTTCTTTTTTGTAGGGATTCTTAGCTCAGCTTGTAGAGGGAAATGAGTTCAAACAAGAAGTCTGAATCACCAGGACAGAGTCTCAGGTTTTTTTCCCCATCACTTGAGTCATACAACCCTTCTAGTAGGACTATGGCAGAGTCGGAAGAGAAGCAGCTATGGAGCCAGCATGGGTAATGCTAAATTGAGGATCTCCACATTGAGCTCCATGGGTCTAACATAGACAAGCTCATAGAATGACATTTGGATTATTTTGCTTATTGACATAATTTGTAATGTTTTGCACATCAGGTAACATATAGAAGAACAAGTCTCTGTGCCATAGCAAATGTAAGCATTACAGCTGATAGGAAGATAATAGCAAGTGCCAGGAGTAACAGCTGACTTTCCTACCATGCATATTGTTAGAATATATAGAGTATAACTCTAGTCCAAGGGGCACTGTTTGTGAAGATTTGTTCCCTGACAGCTAATTTAGATTATCTCCAGCTGTTCTCCAAGTCTTTACTGTATGCCTACTAAAGCCAATAGAAAGATTCCCATTAAATAATTCGCATACTTTATAGAATTTGGCTGGTTCTTCTAAGATACTGGAGAAAAAATCCCTCAAACACTGATACAGGTTTAGCAAAAAGATCAAATCAAATGGTCTAGCAATGCTTACTTCTTTTCTGAGAGAGCCAGCATGTTTGTCTTTTTAAATTCCAGTGTTTTTTCCAGTTGTTCGCTTTTTTCTTTCAGTTTTGCTATGAGAATTTCCTCATTAAATATAGCCTAAAAAATATAACAGACTATGTCAAGACATATGCAATTTTCAAAACAGCAAACAATGAGCTCCCTTACTGCCACTGTTTTTTTAAGATTTCATAACAACTGCATGAGACTCTACTATTTTCTAGCCACTCTGAGATTTCACAGTCAAAATTAAAACAGCCTGCAAAGAAAGAATACTGAGAAAGCAGTGGTTAAGGCTGCATTTATTGTATTTAATCACTGAAAGGGTTAAAAAATTAAGCCATGCAGGCTGGTAATGAAAAGAAACATAAAAAAATAACCTATGAAATCTGTCATTTAAGGGAACCTCACTGCAGAGTTCACTCAGGTATAATTCTGGAATTTTTACAATTACTCATTCATTACTGAATGATACTCATTCATACAGAAAGGACTTTTACTGGGAAGGCAGCAGTGCTTCTAACAGAAGTTGGCAAGACTAGGGCAGAAAATAATTTTTTACAGCTTAATTTGGTTTAACTCATTACACAAGTATTAGTTTTGCAGTATAGTTGCTTTCAGTAATGCTGAGGTAACTCAGCAGATGTTAAACTGAATGCAAGTAGTTTTGTTTGCAAGATATCATAAAAGGAAAGAAGACATTGCTCTTTCCTTACTTTCATCTGATAAGTTATCTGCAAAAAGGGAGAAGTAGTTCTAGAGTAGGCAGGGTTGAACTGGAAGCCAGTCTTAAATAGGTGGCAGACAGAGAAGGCCTAGTTGTCTTGTAGTCCTATTGGCTTTGGCTTTCTAGATCCTGAGCCTCTTCAAGATTGTCACGTCCACCAGCATGGAGTTACTTACACTGCTGAAAATATTCCCAGGCAGTTGAGCATAACATAGTCTTCTTGTTTATTTTAGTTTCTACAACACTTTTCCAGCACAAACTCTTTCATAATATCTGAGCAGAGTCTTCTTTTCTCAATTTCTTCCCCTAAATATCCATTGATTATAATTTCTCTTTTTCAGCTAGTCCTCCAACTAGCTCCATCAAAGGCATGTGCAGGACTGGGATTTAAGTCAACTTCTTACTGACATTTTTTAAAATTCCTTTTAAGAATGTCCTGATAAACAGACTGACCAGCACAGGGTTGCCAACTGTTTCATTAAACTGGTAAAAACAGGCTACGTAGACTTTCTATTTTTGAAAGTGACTCCATGAACGAGTAACTAACAGTTAATAATGTCAATCAATTAGACAGCATGTAAGCTTATTTTTCTTCTTAAAAGGGACTGCATTTCTCTATAAATTACCCCCACTTTGACCAATTATGAAATTGAAATTTGATCTTTGCACTAACGAACAAAAACAATTTTGTATATCACTTACCGTTGAATTCAGACTTATCAAATGCTGTAGGTCCAAAAATTTTATGTTTAAGGTTTCAAATTCATGCTTTTTCTTGGAAGTGTTTGCCTCCTGAATATCAAGAATTTTTTTCATTTCTCTGTTCTACATTAAAAATAATACAATTAATTGAGCAACATAGAATATGGTGCATTGTTTAAAAATTTATATTAAAACATCTGAAACATTCCAAAATTATATGAGCACAAGATTTACGCTGGAATAATGGCCAAATGACCAAATTCTATGAGAAAAAGAAACTATAATTAATTAATATAACATGCAAATGAGGACCTGGCCTGTCAAAATTTTATTTTATTTTACTCCAGTGTAGGCACCTCATCATACTATATTTTCTAGTAGAATGTTTTCTTTGATCATCTTTTTTTTATGTTATCGTTCAGAAACGATACCAAATACACACAACACAACAAATACACACAAAACCACACAAAGCTTGCTGGAAAATAAAGGTACGTCTATTTTAAGCAGTTTGCCTGGAGGGGTTGAAATCCCAGTATATGATTATTTATCCCACAGTCAGTAAGGAGTACCAATACAGACATGATATTCTGAGATGTGTTGCTAGAAAACAAATTTCATACACCATGCAATTTTGATGTGTGGATATTTGTGTGTGAGTGTGCGTGTGTGTATACACACCTCACACACAGAAGCACATGTATACAGAAGTCAAACCAGTGTGCAGCCAATGGCAAGAGAGTCAGTTTTCTGTTTGGCTGCTGCGGAGACGTATGTTAGCTCCATATGCGAAAGCAAAATAGAACATCTGGAATGATTTCTAAGGTCATTTCATTTTTGGCACTATAAAACTATCTGTAAAAGTGTGAAGCACATTTCAAAACCTTTACCTTTTTATCCAATTCTTCTTTCTCTTTCTCAAGCTTGCTCATTTTTTGAGCTATTCTTTCTTTCAATTCTTCTAGTGCTGCCTTTGTCCTGATTATTTCTCTTTCTGTATCTCTTGTTTTATCACAGACCTCAATTAAGAGAACATTTGTGTTAGCTTTCATTGCCATCTTTTCATCCAGCAAGTCTACTCGTTCTTTATACTGTATCCGCAAGTATTCTTGTTCCTCACTGGAAAAAAAAAAAAAAGAGATGAAAATTCTATTTCCTACCATTCATTCATCTCACAGGCTTGGTTCAGATATTCATTGAAATGATTACTTGCTTATTCATATATTAGCAGCTCAGTCTACTGTGGCAGTGTGCGTGACATGCACCAGTACCTGTGATGAAGACCACGTAAGACCTTGCATTCCAATGAAATGGCTTTCAGTTATTTGTATTATGACTTTTTCAAAGTTTTACTGATGTGATAATTTTCCACAAGGTTCATTAAAAAATGGAAGGGCTGCTTGCAAGCACTGAAAGAACAAAGCAATCAGGCTTCCTCTAAGAAAATGCACTGTGATTTATTTTTAAACAGCTCTAGCAGCATGGCAGAAGGTGACAGTAACATGAAATCTGGCAGGGAGGAAACAAATATCTCCCAAATCTCTGTATCCTCTTCGGATAACTCTGGAAGAGGAAGATGGATCGCTGGCACAGTTACTGATTCAGAATTCCTTCCAGTTCTTTTTTAACTGAAAGCTATGATTTTTCATCTGTAGTTCCTTAACATTAATTGTTGAAAGAGAAAACCTTTTCTGCCAGTGTAAGAAGCAAAGATGCAAACAATTTTCCCTAAGCGAGTTTATCAGGGGTACAAAGGGCAGGCAGGAGCAAGCAGGCTCTGCTGTTCAAGAGACAAGATCTTAAAAATCAGGCTTGCTGCTGTAGCGAAGAGTTGCCTAGGAACATTTACAGCTAGCTGCAGGGGTGAGGGCCAAGCACCGCTCACCATGTTTTGATAGCATTTCAGTTCTCCTTAATTATCACGACAGTATGGTTTTCCTTTTTCAATTGAATACATACCACAGTGCAGCATTCTGTCTTTCACAAAGGATTCGCTTCTCATCCAGTAATTCAATTTCATCAGCAGTGCTTTTCAATGCAGACTGCAACTGATTTATCTTAGCAGCACAAGATTCACGCGCAGCAGTAACAAGAGCTAAAAAATAAGTACAAAATGTGTGGAAGTCTCTTAGCTATAAAAAGGTATATAAGATAATGGGTTAAAGGGATTGATCTGTAATTTTTAATTCACTGCTATTGGTACTGTCACCTCGTAAGGGATAGCTGTGATTCTAAGACACTAACATCCTTGAAATCACATATGTTATTTCAGTTGTTCATCCCATTTTCATCATTTCAGTCTTATCCCATTTTCCCTGCATTTGTTTGTGTTCTCACAGAACAATTGCTCTTTTTCATGTCTAAGAAATTCCCTAGACATACTCCCTAGACATAAACTGATTAAAATTATTCCTTTCCCCCCAGAAAAATCTTCTGCACAACCAGCTCTGGCAGCCATGGACAAGGAGCAGGATCACCTTGCTTGAAATTCAATAGCATTTCTCCCAGAAAAGCCACTGCTGTGTGGAAGTGAAGAGCCTGCATGAAGAGGCACTGTGGTTAAAGCTCCTCTGTGCAAGGGCATTGTAGTCCAGCATCTTTTCAGCTTCTGAGATAACAGTCACATCAGCGTACATCCACCCACGCAAAAACACTTAGGCAGTGCAGAATGGAGCAGCTAGTATCAACAATTGACTAACTGCATAGCAACCACGTGCTATAGGCAGAGAGAAGGTGAGGGAGGAAATTTTCTGTAAGAAAGTAATCAACAAACACAGAATGTAGCTGGGGGGGGGAAAAAAGAGGGAAAAAAAAAAAAAAAAAAAGAAGAAAAAAGAAGAAAAAAAAAAAAAAAAAAAGAAGAAAAAAGAAGAAAAAAAAGAAAAGCTCTGGCTGCTGTTTCATGATGAACCTGAATCTAATCTAACCCCGTATTGCACCAAAAGTAGTCCTGCTCTCCTGGGCACCCTACCATGTTGCCATCCTTCCCCCTGTGCCACCACTAACAATCACGCAGCCTCATGGTTAGCCAGGTAAAGAACTCCATACTCCCTTGCTTCTCCCAGAAGGAAGAAATCCTGGCATTCACCTAGATCAGCTCCCTGACCACTTTACTTTGTGACTACAGTGCTTCTATTGAAGGGCAGTAGCAGAATAGGGGTTGGTCATCTTAAAAGTGAAGCCATACCTGAAGCCATACTTATTTTTATCTAGATACTTACATTTGAGCTAATGCTTTAGCCTCCCTTCATAGCCAGTGGAGAGAAAGAGGCACTTCAAGTTCATTATTCTTCTGACTTTAAACACCTATTCCAGGGTGAGATGAATCATACCTAGAAGCGCCTCTTCCTCTTTACTGTCTAAAAGGGATAGTTGATAAGTATCTGGTCAGATGAACCCCACCCAAAAGTAATGTCACGTCAGATAAGCATTATTACCCCTACTTCACAAAGAGAGAACTTGCAGCACAGAGCACTCAAGTGCTCCATCTCAAGTGTCAGAGAAAGGCTGTGGCATGGCTGGGATCAGAACTGAATGCTGCGGTTCTTTACTCATTCCCCTTGTGCTTGTTCATGGTCTTCAGTGAAGAAATCTCTTACATACACTCCTATGTGAGAGAAAAATCCCTCACAGCATCGTACGGCAGAGAACATCTATCTTCTTTCATTAATAAGGTCTTATTGAAAGTGATTTACTTCAAATTGTTTAAATGCATAGGTAACTCAGTTCTTTTGGTTTTTTTCAGAGCTGGTGAAGTCAGCACTACCTGTCATCTCTGCAATAATCTCTCCTGGAAATTTTTGCATTCTGAAGCGAAGGTTGCTGTTTTTTATAGTCTCCTCTTCTAAGCATTCAAGAGTATGTCTTCGAATTTCTTCCTGACAATTAAAAAATACGCAAGTGAGAACCAAGTAATACAACAACAGATGAAAAAGCACTTCTTCCTTACAAAGCCATTATTTCATGGTTTTTTAGTTAGTTGGTACTGGATATTGTCCACACCTAGATATATCATTCCCCTTGCTCATACTTGCTCTCTTTTGTCCTTTCTTTCACTCTTCAAAATAGCAAGTAACTTGTTTTACAGGTAGCTGACAAACCTATGGAGCTCCAGAAACTGTTGTCTTCTGACTTTTAACAGTCTTCAGGAAGCTGTCACCCAAATCTCTGCTACAAAAGCTGTGCCGGCAGGGAAGCTCTCAGCTGCCAGCATCTGCCATTTTGTATGAAGTGTGCTATTCTAGCAACAGAAGAGCCTGGTTTACCTGTGGTCTGAAACTACACTGAAGGGGAGCTTTAGCTGACCTTGAGACACACTAGAAAGGCATCATCTGATTCATGGGTAATGGTATGGGAAGGGTCACTTTAAGAGTGATGGAGCAAGACAAAACAAACTGAACTGGACGTGGGAGGAGCCCTCAAACAACTGACTCCTCCAATCTGTGTGATTGAGAATTGTAGGTGGGTTGATGAAGCCCTGAATGTCTGGGAAAAGAAATCAGTTCTTAAATGGATGTTGACCTTGGCATCACAACTAAAACATAAAACCAATCCTGTCTTTCTCCTTCAGTCTTGCTAGCAGTTACAATCACTAGCTGAGACACTCTGGGAAGTAAAGATACTGTTGAATTTTACTGTCTACAGAGCAAATTCTATATGCATGCATATAAATTACTCTCATTTCCTTGGGAAGATGAAATATTTAGAGGTGTAAAATAAAGGCGTAAAAGGTTTTAATTTCATATGAGTTACATCCTCAATTAGCTGAAGCATTGAAAAAGAAAACAGCTTCATGATTTCAGCATGTTATATAAAACACTCATCTGATGGACTAATACAGAGTTGGACTGAAATAGATGATTTAGAGGCATACTGAAGAAGAAAGGAAAGTTTGTACGATTTACACATACCTAAACAAATGCTTCAGGGAGATACTTCTAAAATACCTTCTGTTTGAAGCCATTCTGGCTTTAAAGGCTTCAGAGGTCTTACAGCAAAAGTTACCTAAAGTTAGCTACCTATGAACAGCTGTCCTCAGCTCATAAATGCTGTAAGGTCTCTTATTATTACACACAATGCAGTTGTTTCAAGGAAAGACAAAATGTTCAAAAAAAATTCCTTTTGCACCTAGTGATTGGGCAAACCACCTACCTGCTGAACTCTGTACCATCTGCTGAATGCACTAACATTATTAGGTGTTTCCTCACAGCAGCCCTGAGAGGGAAGCATTATTTTTCTCCCTTGCACTGACAGCATTAAGGCCCTTATGATGTAAAAAGCTCTACACAAGTAGACCTCTGCCTTCGAGTGATTTTTGTGATGCTCCTACTAAGTCGCTGTAGGTTCAGAGCTTACACCTCTTGCACAAAAGCAGACTATGAAGATGCAATAGGGTGGGGAACAGAACTTCAACCCTGTGTCCCAATTTACTGCTGAGTATAAGACCCTTCTTTTTACTTTGACAGAAATCTGGGACTTCCTCAAATTTCACTAGCTCCTAGTATAATGGCATCAAGCATTCCCGCATTGAAACATCAGCAGGTGAGCTTGGATCAGCTGGGTGACCTATACTAGTCAGGTTGGTTCTGCAGGTAGCAAAGTGCATGCAAGCACCCACTAGCTTCACTCCAAACCACCTACCTCTCTCTCTTAAGGTAGAATATAACTTACACATGAGAACACTTCTTATAGTACAACTGTAAAAGATTAATTTCATGGTTACCAACAAACTCTTCTGCATATATTTGAAACTAAATATTAGGTTTTTCTTACCAATTTCTTAATAGCAGGAATAGTACCCTCAAGACACTGCACAACTTCCCCACTGAACGCAGAGTCTTCATTTTTCAAGTATTCTTCTAAATGAAAATACAGTGAAATTAAAATGTATAGTTTTAAAGCTTCAAATATTGCTCTATTGTTCTGCAAAAATTATTCTGAAAGAGAGGATTTGTTTTTTAATTATTTGCTAAATCTGTTTTCCCTTGTTCTAAAGTAGGTCAGCATCTTTCTCACTCCTCCTCCTGGTGCACAGAAAAGGCAGATGCCCAAGTGGCATACGAAGTCCCAGGACATGGTAAAATTATCAGTCACAAAATGCTTCCAACTTAAATTCTGCAGAATTAATCTTTTAAGAGTCATTCACAGAAGTTTACGTAGGTTATTAAACTGAAGTAAAAGCTGTGGATCAAAATAATTTCCTTCTAAGCAGGGTGTAGCTAATCTTTAGAGTTTTTCCAAGTAGTCATGGTTTCATTATGCCTCTTTGCAACCAAAAAAACTAATCCGGATTCATCAAAGCCTAAAGTGAGATTTACATTACTCCAGAAGCTACTCTACGTATTGTTAAATTTAATTTAGCTTGAGATGGAATAATAATTGCAAGGATTTGAATTGATCCAAAAGATTATTGTACCTGTTACAGTGGCATGAAAATTTTTTAAACCCTGGTTTCGTAACAGAGACTAAATCCTCACAGGAGCGGAAAAAGAAAATTCATAGTACAAGCATAAGTGAATTTGTAGTGAAGACAAGGCACTCAGCCAGCTGAGATGAGAGCTCTGTTTTTAATTTGACCTACTAACTTGTTTGAAAACTAGCAACTGTCCCATTTCACTCAAATCTTTATCCAGAGTTGGTGGGAACAAAGGACTGGAGCAGCTGCTAGCTCTGCCATACCAACCCACTTTCAGGCCTGATGATGACCACCTACCAGTACGGCATTTTCTGTGATCTATCAGGATGAAAGATGTCAGAAAACAAACCCATATATGCAGCAAACAGCAGAGTGGGTGGCATAAAAGCAGAATTTGTCCCAGCTTCAGCAATTAGTAGTTATTCCAGACAATTATTTCTGATGACAGCAGTCTGAAATCACAGTCTTTTTACAACCTTAAAATCATAGAACAGAATCACAGAACCATAAAATCCTTTAGGTTGGAAAAGACCTTTAGGATCATCAAGTCCAATCGTTAACCTAACACTGCCAACTCCACCACTAAACCATGTGCCACATCTACACGTCTTTTAAATACCTTCAGGCACAGTGCCTCAACTAGTTCCCTGGACAGCCTGTTCCAATGCTTGATAACCCTTTTGATGAAGAAACTTTTCCTAATATCCAATCTAAACCTCCCCTGGCACAACTTGAGGCTGTTTTGTCTCGTCCAATCACTTGTTACTTGGGAAAAGGGACCAACTCTCACCTCTCTACACCCTCCTTTCAGGGAGTTGTAGCAAACGATAAGGTCTCCCCTCAACCTCCTTTTCGCCAGACTGAACAACCCCAGTCCTTCAGCCACTCCTCATAAGACTTGTGCTCTAGACCCTTCACCAGCTTCATTGTCCTTCTGCCAACAGAACTATGAGCTATTTTCCTCAGAAATGTAACAAAATTTAAGGTATATTGTGCATAAAAGAAAATTCATGTTAAAACCAAATTTAAGTTCCTCTCGTGAAGGCATTTTTACTAGTTCTTTAGTATTTCCCCTTCCAGACCCCCTCTTGATTTCTTTTTATCTATTTGATTCTCTCTCCTCTTTTGTGCTCACGCTTGCTTTCTCAAAATCTGTACTTCCTAGATGAAACATCTCCTTCAGAAAAAAGCTGCAATAAAGTTTTCAGATATTTTCAATTTCATCCTATGCTTGTTATTAAACCAAAGCTAAATGCTACTAAATGCCATTGGTGAAGTATAAGTTTCCCAAATACAGTTTTTTATATATAAAAAAAGATCCCTTTGAAAAGTCTTGCCTCTTTTTTTCCCTGCATACTGCTCCAAAACACAGCCTTTTATGCCACCCTCTTTACTGCCAAAACTCTTCTCCTAATAAAACCTTTAAATCTTTTAAAAGTGGCATAAAAATCAAAGTGCCTAATGTGACAAATGTCAGCTATTCATTTTCCATCCCTCCTGGCTTCTCTCATTCAAGTGCCACAGGCACAAACTTCTGGCTCCAGAACAGCATCAGTTCATCCTCCCTGCACAGCAGAGCCTTGAACACCACATTCTCAAAAACTATAAAGTCACTGCTATGTCCCACCTGAAATCCCTCCTTAACCCCCCCCAGCTCCTCTGGGCATAGGATGAGCTGCAGCCTGACAGTGGCAGGGAGGGCACAGCACCGGGACCACAAACGTTTACTGGTGAAGTGTTTTCACATCATCTTAGATCTCATACTACAGCTTGTGTCACCCCAAGCCACTTGTCTCATCTGCGTATGTTTTCCTTCTGGCCTTTGGGTTATAAGCTCTTTGAGGGACATTACCATTGTGCAGCCTTGGAAATCAAGCTGTTGAGATAATGCCCTGCAACCAATCTCCAGGTCAACAGGGAAGTTCAGCCCCTAGTTCCATACAGTCCTTAGTCTGACAACTGAGGCCTCCAGAAGCTAATATGTTGTAATATACATCTATAAACACAAGCTGTGCCCAATCCTGCCTATTTATAAGAAACCAGCTTTTTTAGACAGGAATAGCTTTCCATTACAGTTAAACAGATTTGACAGCAAGTTTTGAATGTTCTGAAATTGGAATATTTGAAATGACAACCAGAGGCAGTGTTCTTCAGCATGGAATCCATTCCTTGAGTCTGCTCAACCTTAATACATGTATGCTCCTACCTCTCAAAGGGGAGCGTTTAGACACAGAAAAATCTTGTTTGAAATGTATCTCCTGGTACTTAGTTTATTTGATGTTTTTCTCTATCCAACTTTATTACTCACAGCACAATTTTCTTGCTTACGCTTGAAGCAACCCTTCTCTTGCATCATGATTATTCTTTCCTTCTAAAGCAAATTTCTTCTATTTGTAGTCATTGCTTCATCTCCTTCATGAAGGCCTTCGCACCAAGTTGCTAATTGCTGAATTGTTGCAGTTTCACATCTCTGTAATCCATCCAGCTACCCTGAAGGCAGGCTGTATTTCTTACAAGAGACACCATGATAAATGTGATTCTATAGGTCACATTAATCTTTCAAGACCCAACAGCTCCATAAGCACATTCTTGTTTCATATGGCCCAAGAGAAAAATTGACATTCAAGACAATTCAAGGGCTTCTAACCTGTCAAGACTTGAAAGGAATGAATTTGTGCTTTAAGCATATTTAAAATTTCCTTCTTCCTTCAGACACCATGCCACATGCTCACTTCAGAGGGAAAGGGGACCACAAGCATCTGGCTCGCACCACCTGCCACAGCGCCTGAACCACCTTGCAAAGTGCATTGGCTTTCTTAATATGCCACCAGCCTTGTGCTGGAAGGAGGATTTTTCTCAATGCTGCCCTACGATGTCAGCACTGTCGATAGTGAGGAGGTTTGTGTTACAGGTAGACTGCAGCTGTCCATGAAAATGCTTTTTTAAGCAAGGTTTCCAGAAATAAGATATAGTAGAAAGGCTTGAAGAGGAAAAGCCCTAGACGTGGTCACATACGTACTTGCCAAGAAGTCTTGGGAATCCCACAGAGGAACCAGATGGCCCCATATGTGATAATAAACCCAAAAAGACAAGGAGGAAATGCATTAATAACCATGGCAGCCATCCCATTAAGAAACACATGACCTACCCATAGCCCTTCCCCACCAAACACTTGTAGCAACTCTTACCTTTGGATTTTATGTCTTCTACATTAACCTCAGTAAACCAGGATGGGTAAACAGGAAGGGACAGTCCCTGGCCACTGAAGCCATGGGGATAATGTTAGCCTGGTTGGGTTTTTTTAGGCAGATAGTTAAAATGGCAAACAACGCTAAGGCAAAATAATATCAATTTTCCTTGTTAAGCTCTGACTCCACACATCACCACAGTAGAAAACATACATACAATACAAAGTTTGGGTCTTTCCCTTCTCTTGTCCGCCCAGGACTGGAGGGACATTGTCCATGAGGAGACCAGTCGTCCCTCCCAGTGCTGGGGCAGGAGGCACCTCAGCAGCCCCCCCGGCCCTGTGCACACCCACCCAGGTTCTGCAGGTGGTTGAGGGTGGCTGGTGCCACAGCAGAGGACGAGAGCGCTGTGGTGGACAGAACGGGCCTCAACATGGCAGCTGGGCCAGACCTCAGCGTGGTGTCCATGCCAGGCCTTGCTGTTGCCAGGTAACCAGGCTCGGAGGCCCCAGGGCCATGCTCCACCACCTGCCTCTGGGGCAGAGGAACAGGCCTCCTGAAGGGTCAGGATGGGTCTGTCCCTGCAACAGACCTCCCAGGGTCGTAGGGTGGTGTAGCCCCAACTCCATGCCAGCAGGAGGGTCATGACCTGCACAGGCGTCCAAGGACGGCTTTGGGCAGAAGAAGACCTCACTGCCTTCCCCACGTCACATCTTCCCCACGTCACATCCATGGGCACAACAGCTAGGCTGTTGTTCCTTGGGGAAGTAATTTTTGGAGACCAGATGATTGGTTGCAAATTTTCTTCATTGTTGCAACCTCTGCGCTGCTGGTTCGAGGCCTTCCTCTGTCGTGAACAATGAATCATATCAAGATTAGATCAAAATATTACAATAAGCCTAGAAGAGTCTTGGCCCACATATTAAATCTCACAAAATACGATGCATACAGTACTTTTGGATCCTAGCAGTTAAACTTGGTAATTTCTGGCCTTGGAGACTATGCATCCCAACCTTTCAAAATAGACAAGATTTTAAAATATTAATAATAAAGCTTAGATTCTTTATCCGTTTTTCTAAGCCTGCAAGCTGCAGTTTAGTTGCATTTCGAAGCTTTCCCGTGGACCTTTTTTAATGCAGTCATCTGTGTTTTACAAAGAATACACGTCCTCAATTCAAAATTGAAGATAAAACAGTGACTGTATGAGGGAATATCAGGTAACATTGCCAGTTATTTCCATGTGAACTACGCTCATAGAGACAACTAATCAGCAGGATAACACCTCTTTTTAATTATCTAGAAAAGTCTAATAGAAAGTGCTGCAAATTTCCTCTGGAGATAATCAGCTTGTTAGGAGACGGCCCATTTCTGTCCTACATATTTATGGCTGCTGCCACTTGCGATACCATTACTGGAGACCTTCTTCCTTCACACTTAGTATCGATTTATGGCGCAGCAAGGGACAATCAGCAAAGGTGGTGCTGTCCTTCACCCCCAGCACTCCAAGAAATTATCTTGGAAATTGAACTGTGCCTAGAACAGACATGCGTGAAATGATCTGCTGTTAGTCCTGCATGTTGGCTACATGCACAGGACCTGATCCCGAGCGAGATGAGCATCCTTGTCTCCTTCTGATGTTTACAGGAGATGGGGGCAGTGTCCACTGCCTTGTAGACTGTGGTAATGCTCTTTTGCAGTTCAAATATGAAAATTATCTCCTGTTTACCTCCAAAATATATGGATCCATGTCTTCATGTCACTGCAGACAGGATACTGTTGTCTAGGTAAACATAGTAATCCCTGGACTAGTAGAAACTTATCCTATCTGTCTTGAAAAAAAAAGTCATCTGTTCATTGCATGACAGCCAACTTGGTACCTACAAGATAAAGCAGTTGTGAAGGACTTAAAGCTTTTTAACACTCAGCAGAAAATTTCTAGTGGCATTTGCACAAAAGGTCCTTGGCAAGGCTGAATCTCCTATCCTAGAGACATGCCTTTTCAATTGCCATCATGCTGCCTATGCATATACTTTGATTTCTAGCTCCAGACTTCTAGGAATTTATTGCTGCCCTGTATCAGAACTAAATTTAGCTACTCGCCAAATGGGAGAAGTCAAATCCCTGCCCAGCCTCATGGTGAGAGTAGCTGGGCAGCACGGCATCAGTTTACAAGAGCTACCAGGATATTCGATCTGAGGAAGCAGGGGTCATTTTCTCTATGACGATCTGCTCCCTCTTTTCTTTTACTACAACTCACAGTCTGAACATGGATAAAGCAAATACATGTTCAGTGTGAATGAAAATTTACATCTCTCATAAATAACCTGCTTCCTGACAAATTTATTAGAATGAAAACTAAGGAGAATATTTTTCCCCCTCTATTTACTTATGCTTCTGATTTTTTTTTACACTCATTTTTATTAGCCTATCCTTCACAACCTGAATCTACTGTAATCTTGTTACCTTTTTTCCTGCATACAAAATTATGTCACAGCAAACAGGATTCATAGAGGGAGACATGGACTTGTTTGTTTTGATAGCATCTTCCTAACTGCTGGGAAACAAGAGGAGGCAGGAAATTCTGTTTGCAGTTGCAAGAGTTGATGAGCCTTTAAAATATTTTCACGACGGCCTCACTGGTGCCTGCTTGTCTCTGCTGAGCCTGGAATACCTTTCACAAAGGTTAGTAGTTAGTTAATCACAAAGATTGCTAGTTACTAATTAATAACAAGGGCAATATTTTCTTCCCAAAGAGAATGAGCCAAATTTTGAGTTCATATGATCTGGAGAGAGCTACTCTGACTTCAGTAGATCTACTTGCCTGTATCAGATGAGCATCTGTAATATTCTCTTCCTGCTAAATAAACACAGATACTCTCTAAAAGTTAATACACTAGTGCAATAAGTGCTGGGAGAAAAAAATGCGTGCAATCCACTCTTGTAAACTCACTTTCAGCACAAAAAGAGCCACATGGGGATTTGCCATCTGCTTATTTTATCAACAAGGCAATCAGCATTGCATGTAATCTATTTCCTACCTTGAATGACTCTTAGATTCACAGTGCTTGTTTCTAGCTCCTGTTAGGCAGCTAGTGTTAATTTCCCTGACCAATAATATATTTTAATTTCCAAATCAAAATTATGTAATGCAGTTTTTTTCCTCTGTCATCATTAAGCAGCCTAATTAAGCAGCAGCTTAAACAGCTTTCCCCCTTCCTGGTGTTTACCCCCAGTGTACATGTAAAGAGCAACTATATCCCTCCTTCCCAGCCTTCATTTTGCTAGTGTAATGAAACCAAACTCTCCATTCCTGTAATGACCCCTGGATTCCCCTGGATCCTCCTCATAGCACTTCTGTGCTCCACTGAGCACTTCCATATTGTGTTCAACCAGGCTTTTCTCATCTGTATTTCTTTCTAGCCAGGAACCTTCTTTCTAGAGAGAATTTTCTACTATCAATCCAGGACATAACTTTGCATTTGTGATGCAAAACATCATCCAGTTTTTGTTGCTCGTGGGCTTCAAGATTATCCAGCTCCTTCCATATGGCATCCCAATGGTCTCTTCCTATACTTGATCACTTCATATCTTTAGCAAAGCTCATTAGCATCCTCTGTATTTCACTTTATGCATGAAAATTTGAAATATGGCTGATATTTGGAAAACTTCAGTACTGACCTCTCCTTTTTATGCTACCAATTACCATCTGCTCCTGAAGATCTCCTTAAAATCTTCTGTTAATCAAAGTTTTCTCTGCTTCACTTACAGTTTCTCTCATGGCACCATATCAGAGACTCCAGGTACATGACTCTATAGGAGCTTCTCTTACCTGATTTCTTTTGCAAAACTTAAGTTATGATGTTGTAGTTCATCCTGCATAACAGGGGTCACAGCATTTCACTCGAGAAAGCAGACTTACTCAAGTCTCTTGTGACTGTAGAGCTGTAGGAGTACCTTTGGCTAAATGGTAGTAGGAGCAACATTTTCTTTTCATTTTCACTATTGGTATAGTATGTGAGTCATAAACTTGTGATTACTGTTGGGCAAGTGGGCGAGATAAAACACTTGAAACGAAGAGAAATTCTTGGTTATATCCTGATATCAGAATTAAAATTTAAGCTTATTTCTCAAAATGTGGTGTTAAAAAGTGACACTAGTAGTATCAGAATTTTATGCTCCTTAAGGTTTGTTTAAGCTGACATTAAAACTTGGAGTATACTTTCTGATAGTTTTGCTCTCCATAGTTCATTACATCTCTATATTTCAGCTGAAAAAAAGTTGTCTAGTTTTTGAGGAGGGGAGAGAGGTGAGGAAGGTTTCCAGGACTTCAAAATTTCTGACTAGAAGGAATACAAGAGTTGCTTCCTCAGATGAGTTCTTCTGAGAAGGTTAAAGCCCCACCACTTCCTAATCAAGTGCTGCAAACTTGCTGTTAATGAACAAGCTATTGCTGAATTTTTGCCGGTAACTGTTCAGTGATCATGTTTAGCCTGTGACAAAGGTGACACTTTTTCACTCAGTGTAACAGGCTAATAATAATTGCATGGATGGTGGTTTCTCCGAGCAAGCATCTGTGGACTTAGGAGAAAATAAATTAGGCCTCATGTCTAACTTGGTCAATGACGAATATTTTGTGTAAAGACATCTGTTATTCAAGTCACTCCACTGCCTGGATGTTACATATCCTCTCTTTTTTTTTAAAGTCACATCTATAAACCATTACAGACATTTTTTGACTGGTCCTAGCTACTTTACATCACTTTAGCTAGATTAGAGGGCTGTACAGAAGAAGTAAAAATGTAGCTTAATATCATCTTTATGGGTATATATGCAGAGGGGCCTTACTGTGTATGACAATGAGCTTCACTGAACTGAATTATTTTTTAAACTTAAACAAAAAAAAGCCATGAGGAGGCATAAATTGCAGCCTTGAGGCTGAATTGTTTTGATATTCAGTGACTATGAGAAATGAGTCTGACATGTTAGTTAAGGGGCAGACAGGAGGGAAAAGCTCTAAAAGCATGTCAGCACAGGGCTACTTTCTCTTTTGGTTTGCTTAGCTAGGTTCCTCCTGCAGCTCTCACCCATCCTCTTATTTTGATGCTGCTCCCTTCAGCATCTCCCAGCATTTTGGCTGAGGCAGAGCAGGAGTGAAGGGGAAGACAAGAACATGGACAACGCAGAGATGGGCACATCCCAGTTGATAAGGGCTTGCCAGAGTGTTGGACAGAAGTCTGCCCACATACCCGACTGCCCGTGTAACTTTACCTTGCCTTGCACACACACAGTGACGTCCCCCAGGTTATGAATGTGGCATACTTGTAGATTTAGCACTCTCTCTAGGGGAGCAGCAGACGTGGGCATCAGGTGCCCTTTCAGGCTCTACAGAGCTCATCCTCTCCCAATAACAGTTACCCATACAAAGAAGAAAGATT